AAAAAAAAAAAAAAAAAAAAAAAAAAAAAAAAGACTGTGGAATTGGTACAGAGATAAATAAACCAGCAGAACAGAATTTAAAGCATACAAATATACTTTCACATATAAGAGCAGTCTTCCAAAAGTTTATGGTAAGATTTATATTATCTTTTAATCCTATTTTTCCACAAAGTACTCTCATATGCACAAATGATGAAGGACAAAGCTAACACTACAAAGCAGTAAGTTTAAAAGGTCTTTTCCATAGATGGTGCTGGACCAACTGCGCAGCCACATGAAGGGAAAAAGTGAAATTGGACCCACAGCTCACACCAAACACAACAGTCGATTACAGGTAGATTAAAGACAAATGTAAAACGTAAACCTCTAAAGCTTTTAGAAGATAATACAAGAGAATATGAGGTAGAGATAAGAATAAATTTCTTAAAACACAGAAAACACTAACCATGAAGAAAGAGACTAAAAATTTCAAACCACATTAAAATCCAAAATTCCATTTATCAAAACATAACCAGAGGAAAGATATTTGCAATTTATATAACTGTGAAATGCTTCAGACCCAGAATACGTAAAAAGTTCCTAAGAATCAATAAGAAAAGCCAAAAAGCTAAAAGTGTTTAAAAAATGTGAATAAGCTCTTCAAAAAAGAGAAAATCTAAATGACTAATAAACATCTAAAAAGATGTTAAATCTCATCAGTAAGCAGGGAAATGAAAATTAAAACCAAATGAGAAATTACTACGTACTCAGAAGATTGGCAAAAATTTAAAAGGCCTGACATTATCAAGTGCTAGAGTGGACAACTCCCATATGTTGTTCGTGGGAGTGTAAATAGTTAAAATCACTTTACAACACATTGGTTAAATCTAGTAAAATTGAAATGATGCTTAACTCATGACTCATCTATTTCATTTCTAGGTATACACCTGAGAGAAACTCTTGCACATGTGCATCAGGATATATCACAAGAATATTCATAGGAGCACCTATCGTAACAGTCCAAATGTCCATCAACAATAGAATGGATAAATTGTGATATATTCACATAGTACAATATTACACAGCAATGAAAATTAACAAATTACAACTATAGAACAATAACATGGATGAATCTTAAAGACATAATATTGAAAAAAACAAGATACAAAAGAGTACATACAGTATGGTCTAACTTATATAAAGTTTAAAAGTAGGTAGGGCTAGCCAGTTAGCTCGGTTGGTTAGAGCATGGTGCTGATAACACTAAGGTCTGGGGATGATCTCTGAACTGGCCAGCCACCAAAAAAAAAAAAAAAAAAAACTGTACTATTTAGGGACACACATATCCATTAAAAAAATAAGTAGTGAAGGGGACTTTGAGGGGTGGAACATTTTGGCAATGTCCTATTTACTGACCTGAATGGTGGCTACAAAACTATTAACTTTTTAAATATTTCTTACTCTACACATGTTTTATGTGTAGAGCACATCTCAAAATAAA